AAAGTCGGGAATAAGTGACGATGACATGAATCGACAAGAACAATAACTGATCAAGAAGCAAAAGAATTAAATTTTCAAGGGAAGTAGTACAAAATAAGATATCTACCTTAGAAAATAAATAATTTCCATGTGGAATTTCAAAATATCAATTTAGGTTGAAGGACTTCACTTATTTCGATGGAATTTGGTTCAAGAATCAACAACAATTTCTACAATTTGACGCCGCATTCTCACAGGGGAAATGGAGAAGCACAAATACCTGCAATGTTGAATCTTAAATGTAGTAGAATATGCCACACTACTATGTTGTCCCTCCCAACAATTCGGAGTAACAGTGACCTCAAATCATTCCTTCCAAGTTACATAGAACACGTAACCTTAAATAACAAAACACAAGAAGAACATGTAAGATTTGTTGATGTAAATACAAATATCAAAAACATCCACTAAAATATAAATCGGTCTACTATTGCATGATATAACATGTATTTTGACCTTAACAAGGTGGTTTCTCAATGCTTACCACACACGAGAATGTCGGTGAATTTGAAGATTGATCTTTCATGAGCATATCATGAAACACAAGCAGTTGTATATTTCAATGAAAACAATGACTTGGTAAACTGTGGATCCAATAGAGATTGAATAATCTGGTTTGTTTGTATCACAACTAGAATCTCCACGAAGATGACTCCGGAGTAAGGATTGAGAGTAAGTTTCGTTATTTAAACTACAACACGGAATCTTTTCCATTGGCAAACAAAAGGTCATGAATAATGATTTGTAGAGAGAATTTTAACTTGGTCAACATTCCATGCAAGAAGAAAACAAAGCAGACTATGAGTACAAATCTCAATTTTTTTCAGATCAGCATTTTAACAAATTATCGCGTCTTTGAGTTTTGTGTCTGCGTTATCGAACAATCAAATGTCCAATTTGTGATTAAAGTGAAAAGCTTGACGAAAAGACGATTCATTGTAAAATTGTGCATAACTTTAAATTTAAGTTAATTATAATTTGGTTGAAAAA